CTTAGTGGTTACTCTTGGGTTTCCAATATTTAGGTTAACTTATCAAAATCTACTTCAGATTTATCCTAACATAAGGCCAACGACACACTTGCGTTTTCATATGGTTTTACTATCAGCTTTGTTGTCATGGGTAAATCACTTTTTCCTTATGCTTTTTGAGAGTTAGCCTGTGACTTTAGGCCTCATACTGACACATCCAGATCCAGAGACTTTCAAATCTTAGAATCGTTCAAAAGCCACATTCTGTTAGTGGGATTTGTCAGCTTCTTCTGAGCAGTTTGCATTTCAAAAGGCAGATCCTCTGGAAAGCAGTATGGAGATACTTCAAAAAATTAAAAATGGATTTGCCTTTTGACCCAGCGATTCTGCTGCTGGGAATACATCTTAAGGAACCCAAGACACTAATTTGAAAAAACATAAGCATCCCTGTGTTCATTGCAGCGTTATTTACAATGGCTAAGATATGGAAGCAGCCCAAGTGTAGATGAGTGGATAAAACAACTATGGGACATTTACACAATGGAATACTACTCAGCTGAAAAAGAAAATTTTACCCTTTGCAACAGCATGGGTGGATCTGGAGAGCATTATGCTCAATGAAATAAGCCAGTCAGAGAAAGACAAACACCATATGATTTCACTCATATTTGGAATCTAATGAACAAACTGAACTAACAAGGAAAATGGGGACAGACTCATAGATACCGAGAAGGATGATAGCTAGTAGAGGGGGAGGTCAGGAGGTGAAGGGATTGAGCATAAAGGAAAAAGGATTTATGGACATGGACAACAGGGTGGTGATTGCTGAGGGGAGGGGTGTATAAGGGGACTAAATGGTAATGGGAAAAATATAATAAAGATTATATATTTAAAAAAATGATAATTTGGACAGAGTTGGAAGTGCTCTATCAAAATAAAATATGATTATAATTATTAGTTCAGAAATTATGAGAATTAATGGAGAAATATGCCCCTGTGTGGTTTTGGGCAAATCCTTCACTTTTTGCACCTGATTTTTCTTTAGTATAAAATAGGACTTCTGCGTATTAGGTAAATAAATATAGGTAAAGCTCTTAGAAGATTACCTGGCATATAATAATGCTCAAGAAAGGTTTTCTATTGCCATTATTATTATTACTACCTTGACATTTTTCTTACCTATACCAAACTTTCAAGGCTTTGGGGCATTTTACTTAGCTCTTTGATAAAAATGCTTATTTTCTCTAACTACCAACCTCTCCTATAGCAATGTGAACTTGCAATTATCTAAACCTGTTCAGTTAATGAGAAGGTAATTTCAGTTGCTAGAGAAACAAGTAATTGGGTGATGGTGCTACAAGTGTAAAGTGTGAGCTAAAAATCATCCAGGGGCTGTGCTTAAAAAACATGTCCTTCCATTTCAGAGACGTAGTGCCTCATGTTTAGAACTGGCCTGGAACCTAACCTAGTGATCTCTTCCTCCCATTGGAACAAAAGAAGCCTGCATTTAAAAAGAGACTGTAGAATTCAGGATCTCACCTTTCTTTGTTTTCTGACAGGCCTCAATTCATCTGAAAATTAATGCAAAGTTAGTAATTAAATGACTTCCTCTCCTGAACAGTACTCAGGTTTATGTGGGTACTATGTTCACTTAGAGAATATGAGTGTTACCAAAACCCTCAGGCTAACCCTAAGCCATATGCATAGTTAAAATCCTTTGTTTCCATTTGTACTGTTTCTAAGGAAACTAGCATAGCGCTGAGGCTCTGGCACTTGGGTGAATTCACCCAGTCCTTTGTTATTGCTGGCAGAAAGAAAAATTGATTTGGGTTTGGAGTGTGTAGGTCTGGAGCATCTGGCTATTCTTCTGTAAGTGTGTAAATTCCATGTTGGAAGTTAGTCATGTTTCAGTTACTTTCTTTTCAAACAGATAAAAATGAAACACATACTCCCTCAGGTAGTTCTGAAGGCACTTTTTCAGCTGCAGATTCATTTTCCCCTCAGTGGGAAAGACATCAGAAACTCAATGAAAGCTATTTTTATAGGACTTTTTGGGTTAGGCTTTGTAGCTATTAACTGGCAGTTTGGAGAACACCCTGGAAAAACTTTCATTTTCTCCCCTCCACCTTACAAATATTGGAACAGGCAAAGCTAGAATGTTTGCAGCGAGGAGTGAGGTGAGGGCAAAGGGGGGTGGTAGTGGGTAAGATTCAGTACTGTCTTGTTCATGGGACTTTTTTCTTTATTTGTATGCACTCTTTGTTCTAAAATAACATATGATGTGGATTTGTTTGTAAATGGATGAAAAATGATACGTTTTTTCAGCTGAGAATTTAAGAAAAGTGGTTCTGCTGCTTTGCTTAGACAGGAGAGAAGGTCAGGGACAGGAGGTTTTGTGATCACCAGTAATGGTAATTTCGTATTAAGCAGATATGGAGTTTACAGTTGGAAGAGACTGACAATCAAATGATCACACAAATAAAAGAATTCACACCAGGATATAAAATCATACCTGTGATAAATGTATTGAAGGGCGATGCTATAAGAATATATAATAAACAGCTATGACCTAAAATTGGGGTTAAGGCATGATCACCAGGATAATTTCTGAAATAACATTAAGAATTGCCTTGGAGCACTGGGCGGGGGGTGGGCTGGGATGGGAGTAAAAGACAGAAAACTGTACTTGAACAATAATTAAATTTAAAAAAAGAATTGGAATTAGTATTCTACTAAGTCTGGCTGCAGACTTCCTTGTAGAAAATCTACCAAAAAAAAAAAAAAAGAATTACCTTGGTGAAGGGGAGGCTGTGGAGTGGAAGAGTGCTCCAGGCAGGGGGAATAGCATATGGAAACGTCCATGGTGTGAAGAGTAATATCTTATAGGAAGATGCAAGTGGGTCAGGGAGGCTGGAGCTCAGAAACAGGAAAAGTGATGCTAAAAGGACCTGTGACTGAGTAATATGGGAAAAGATCTGGGAGTCATTTGTGAGACTCATCCGAAAGGTACTTGAGGACTTTAGAGGGAAATTTAGACAGTCGAATTGGAAGACTTAGAGCTATTAAGTCAAAGAGGAGAAAGTGAGCTGGTCACACAGACAGTGACCATGACTATAGGTTGACTTCAATCACTACAGTGCATTAAGCTGCAATAATTGAGCGCTCCTCTCCAAAACTCTTTTCCTTACACTTTGTTTTTCTCACAAACCAGCTTCCTTTTCACCTTGTCTCACTTCATACCTCTTGCATTTGATAACTTGGGTCTGGCCACCTAGAAAAATTTCCTCTTCTTTTCTTGTTTTACTTAAATATGAATTGTCCATTAAGGTCCAGTTCAAATCCCACTTCCTCTGGGAAGCCTTCTCCTGTCCATGGGAATTTATCTCTATCCTCTGATCTGTTATAGAACTTAACTCTCCATATTACTACTTTATTCTCTCTATAAAATTTGCCATTGGTATCTCACTTTCACATGTCTTATGGCTCCAGCTAGACTGCGGGGCATTGCAGGGCAGTGACCCTATCTTTTACTTGTAGATTGATAAATTCTACAAGTAATTTATCTACATTGATAAATTCACCAAGGGCTAGTCCTGGCCCAGAGTGGGTAAATGACCACTTTGTGGAGATACAGCCTATACCAGCATCTGACAGACATGGGCCCATCTGAGATAAATGGAGCAGTGACAGAAAGCATAGAGGCTGGGGGTGGGGGAGTGTGGAAGCAACAGAGAAAATGCTTTTCACAATCAGTCACAAGTTCTAAGGCTAGTATTAGCTTATTCATACTCCCTTGTTTACTGGCATTGATTGGTAGTGAGAACAGCCACAATTGAGCTGAATAAAGAGGGAGGATAGGGAAAGTCAAAGCATGTTTCATTTGGGAGGCAGCTTAATTAACGCAAACGTAAGTTCTGAAGCAGGCGCAGGATCCCCCAGTTCTCCAGGGGCATCATTCTATTCAGAGAAAGAAACCACCTTCCTGGCCCAAGAATTTCATTCTAGAGAAGGGGGAGGGGTTGGTGTTGGTGGTAGTTTTGGCCGTGAATGGAGGCAGAGGAGAGAGGATTGGGGGTGGGGGGCACTGGCAGAAGGGAAGGGCTACCAATAAAGTTACAAATGGATGAGTGAATTCCTGTAACAAATTCATGTCACAGAAAGGGAGGGCCGGAGGAAAAAATAAGGAGGGGAAAAAAAAAAACCCAGGCAGTCAACCATGGGAAAAACAATGTGCCCAGGGGGGAGGAGGTATACAGTTGAAGATAACTCCCCATTATAACCAGATTGCATCTGTACTATTTCTTTTGGTTTTGTGCAAACCTTTGACAATTTCATGGTAATTAGACTTCCTGCCAGGCAGTTATTCAAGAGACGTGCAGATCCTCCTTTTGCCACAGAGTACTCCCTAGTTCATGGAAGGTGAGTATTAGAGGTCCAGGATCCTCCCTCCCCCCTCTCCATCTGAGAGCACTTCACTGGCTTCAGTTAATGTAGCACTGACTTGCATTTTTTTGTGGTGGTGTGAGGTTTAATTCTACATAGTATATAGGACGTATTTAAAGTAGCATTCACTTTTGCCTTTCCCTGCACCCTAGTTATTATGATCAGTTTTGTTGTAATTATCCTCTTATTTTTGGTAAGTATTAAACATTAAAGTAAACAGGGTCTGTTCATAATTCACCCCTCCCTGCTTGGCGGTTTGTTTCCTCCTCCTCATTAGAAATGTAGGGAGGATAGCAGTCCTGTAGCAAAGACAGGCACACAGGCTTTCTCTGTGGATTAATTGGTTAGGAAAGACACTTTTTATATTGTCAAGTGGCACTTAAGCTGCTAATTCTTGACTGTGAAAACTACTTTTCCTGGGCAATGCTCTTTAAGGAAAAACTTCAGTCCAGTGATTGGTGACTAAGGGAACGATGGAGCACAGGGGATTGGGCGGGGTCTCGGCTCCTAATAATGCCTCCTTATCCAATGAAAAGCATTTCCTTTTGAGACCCCCAGAAGTTCCCCCGGCCCTCAGCTTCAGCCGGGAGTTTGGGCCTTTTCTTGTGTCCGGTTTGTTAAAGGCATGCCGGCTGCAGCATTCAAGAGGGCCATTCCTTAACAAAGGGAAAGAGATAGATGTAAATAAGCTCACATTTTCAGAATGAGCGGTTTGCTGTAAGAAGCTGCGGCAGCCCAGAGTCTGCTACTTTGGGCTGGGCTAACCTTTCCCTGTTAAAAAAATAATGGATTAAAATATGCACTTTTAAAGTGCGAGTTGCCCTTTCACATGTTTATTAGCTAAATTTCTACAGGCATGAACACACTCATCTAGCACACTCTTTCTTGGGGTAAGTCTCTTTGAGAAAGATTTGATTTGGGCGTTTGTGGGTGGGGGGACGGCGTAACAAACTTCAGTGGAAACGCTTTGAGTGTTCCGGGAAAGAAGTTAGATTTCAACTCTGAAGTGCTGAACAGATCGTCGTGTTGAATGGTAAAAAACAAACAAACCAAAACCCCAAAAGTTTCTATTGTTTTGGCAATAATATTGTTTCAGTGGAGAAGATACAGGATTTTCAGGCTCTTGATTTATGTAAACATAGTTGTCCTAGAGAGCCGACTTAAAATCACAGAGTAGAGCTTAGAAATTCTTTTGGCTTGCTTTATATTTCTTTGGTTTGCAACTGATTGTGAGCTAATGTGGCTCCTATTATGATGAGGTTTCTTCTAGTCAAAGTATATGGGGCTTGCCTTTGATGCTTAATTGATTTATGAAGAATGTGACATTTGCTATATTGAATAATTCATGAACTTGACTATAAAAAAAGAAACATAATTTAATGAAAAACTAATTCTGGCATAAACTGAATTTGCTATTACATGTGAAATGAATTGCTGTTTTTATACAAATGCAATAATGTGACATATTTAAAATTCTCTCCTTGTATATCCTGAATATTTTTAAAATTTTTAACAACAAGATCTTGTTAAATTGATAAATATTGTATTTCAGTTGCTTTGTTTCAGGAAATGTAGTAATGTAATTCATCATTATTCCAGCATGGACAAAACCAGACAAATCCAAATCTTTGAACATTTCAGAATTTGTTTGGGGTCATTCACTTGGCTACCCTACCAAATTACCATCTTTCTTTTTCCTGGACTAACATGAAGATAACAATAATAACCTAAGGTCCAAATTATTCAGTGCCTTTGAAACATGTTTATTTTTCAGAACAAACTTCCAAACAGCATATCCCATCAACATAGATTTTTAAACCCTTTTTCCTTGTCGCAGATGAAAAATTTACACCCCTGCTAAAAAGGATGAGTTCAGCTGATAAACTTGATGGCGTCTGCACTCTAAAGCATCTCCTGCCAATCAGAGATGCGAATGAAAGCCCTATTGGAACAATCAGACCAGCCTTTCAGAATGTGTACTCTCTGTAAGTTAAAGAGAGGACTGGGAAGTTGCCTAACAACAACACTCAGGCCAAGCTTAGTTAGAGCCTCATTTATTCCATTCCCTTTGAGAGAAAATGCATGAGAACTGTGGCCCTTGCTGTGGTGTGGTTAGGGCCTAATTGTGTAGCTGCCATTTTCCTGTGTATATGGTTATCATGTATTGGTCTGCTCCTTGGTCTTCTTAACAGGGAAGGAAAAGAAAACCTATAATGTATTTGTGAATGTTACTACTGAAAATTGGGAGCATAATACAAGATCACCTACCCCTGGGAATCCAGTCTCATTTTTAGTAGATAAGTAATTTTATCAGAACAATGCACAGGATAAGTCTACTGATTTTATAGAGTTCTGAAGTATTTTGATAACCTTATATGTTGAAGGAGAGGTGAGACTAGGTGACTGGAGAACAGGTAGCAAAGGTTGAGGATTAAACCTTGACAGAGCTGATAAGTCTACTGATATGAGCATATGGACAGAGTATGAGGAAAATGAGGGCATTAGGAAGACTTTAGAATATAAATGGCTTCTTGATTTGTGATTTAGCTTCTGGAACTAATTAATATTTACTTCTGATAGTAAAAAAAGATCTAAACTATACATGATGACAGACTTATTGTGATCACTTTGCAATAAATGCAAATATCCACTCATTATGTTGTACACCTAAAGCTAATATAACATTGTATGTCAATTATACCTCAATTAACATAAGTAAAATAAATCTATCTACTCTTTCATTGAGTCTAATAAAAATTAATTCCCCTTGCCTTGCACTTTGAGGGATTAATTTTCTTTTTGCAATGACAAGTGGGAGCAGGTGAAAATAAGTGAGCGAAGGGGTCAGCGAGGCCATGGCACCAGTTGAAGGCTGCTGTCAATTAAGGCAAAAGGTGGAAGGAGAAAATAAACTGAGGTCCACAAAGGGATTGTGAGTTGCTCTCACACAGCTAGTGGTGGGGCTGGATGTGGCTATATTGAATTAATAACAAATATGAAAGCTTCTAATTATTTGAAATTCTAAATCTGCTTGGATTCCAAATAAAAAAGTTTTCTTTATAATCTGTATCAGTTATGAAATGCATCAAAGAAAGAAATGTTAATGTTTCTGTCTTCCTTTAAGATAAACCAGTAAAATAATATTCATTTTATTCCAGGAATATTGCTCTCTGGATGGGTGTGAAAATAAATTCTCCCCAGTATTAAGGTTATATCAAATATATTTTCAATTGTCTAATGATTTTATCATTTTTATTTTGACTCTCTTAGATTCCAAAAAATACTTCAGGAGAGTTGCAGGATCACTTTGCTTAGGCCACCTTTGTTCAGAAGAGGTTGAGATGTGAAAAATTATGTAAGTTTGGCACTGGGAGATGACTGTACTTTACAGGCAGTAAACGAGTAGGGTTCGAATGCAGGTGTTACTTGTGAGAATTGCCAACTGTCTCTGGTTGGATATAAGTATTTGGTGCAGAGTTATGATTTGAGGATACTGTAGGCCTGCTTTGTTGGGTAGGCCTAGTCCATCCTGGGAGAGGCAGCATTGATTGTCAGTGTGCTAACAACACCCAGTCATTGAAGCCTCGCTCCTGTCATTGTAGTTCAGGGGAGAAATAAATTTAACTGGGGTGGGAGTTCAGGTTGGAGACAGGGCAGTGTGGGGTCTCCACCTGTTGTTCCAGTTTTCTTTCCTGTTCCCTTATCAAGGCTCTTGCCCAATTGTAACAGTTGTTGCCAGGGGAAAAGAAAAGAAAGAGAGAACAAAGAACCAACATAGCTTCAGGACAAACAAAGAAATCTCCTTTGTTCAGTTATTTTTAACTTAATGTATTGCCTGATGGGAGTGGAGAAAGCATTTTGATGCCTTTTGTCATTTTTTATCTTTAGATGATTATAGGTTACACAGACTCATAGACTTTATGCTTATTAATATAAGTAAGAAAATCTAGCACACTAGTGGCAGGTTTGGAAAAGAAAATGTTACCTGAAATTCTGTAATAATAAAATCCAAAACATTTAGATACCATTAAAAAATATGTTGGCTGTCATTTACTTTGATTTATATCAAATAATACTTTTTTACCCTATGATCTTGCCATACATTTTATTGAAAAGTTCTTTCCATGTCACACTATCGTGACTAATTCTGTTTCACAGAATCCATTGGAAGAAATCCCTAACCACAGTACCTCCAGAAAGTTCATTGATTACCCAAGTCTGAGATAAAATTGGTGCCAGAATTTGGTTTAAACTAATGCGGTGAGTACCAAACTCCTGGTAATAGCTTCCTCCAAGATTCTTAAGTTTATTCTTCAACTTTTTTTTTTTTGTAACCAGCACTTCCAGTTTATTACAGATCATCTAATCTCCAAATCAGGAATGGATGGAGCAGCTGTAATTGTGTATTCTCATCCAGGCAATTCCGGTGTAGACAAATACTGATTCCTTGGCTTAAGCCTCTGTGCCACTGGTATATATATCCCTTGTAAGATGGGAGACATGGTCTTTATTCGTATTATCAGGATCAGTCTGCAGTAATGTCAAATGAATCAGTACGCAAATTGATAACTAATTTTCCTGTCCAGATCTGTGTAATAAAGCTGAATTCCTCATTGGCATGTATGAGCCTCACAGAGCTTGGAAACACAGGAACACCCAAACTTTTTCCCCAAAGATCTGAGGCTTCTGCTGAGATGATATATTGTCTCAAGACAATTTCATAATATTAGGTTGAGCAATTTCTCTGCAGTTGTCTTACTCTATAACTAACTGCTAGGGGAAATTTTACTTTAGGAGGGTTGATGCAATCTTTGGCCCTCTCATGTGAGGACTAAACCATATTATTTTCTAAAGATTAGACTCTGTCATCAGGTTAGTGGGAGGCTGGAGTACATTTTGGTGAAAAAAAATCAGGTTAATCTGTGAGACTAGAATTTGCTCATATTAAAGCCTGTGTAGATGTCCTGCTTTTCTCAAACAAAGTATGCAGGGGGGCAAAACAGCCATAATAATCTCAGTGCAAAGCAAATTCCGTGTAGAGAAGCTATTTTTAGAAGAATATTTCTTTTTAAAAATATTTTATTTATTTATTTTTAGAGACAGGGGAAGGGAAGGAGAAAGAGTGGGAGAGAAACATCCATGTGTGGTTGCCTCTCATGTGTCCCCTACTGGGGACCTGGTCCACAACCCAGGCATGTGCCCTGACTAGGAATCGAACCGGTGACCCTTTGCTTCACAGGCCTGCGCTCCATCCACTGAGCTACACCAGCCAGGGCTAGAAGAATATTTCTTGCATCAAAACTAAATAAGGCTGTCAGTTTATTGTCTGAAGAGATTAATCGAAAAAACAAACCAACAACTCATGGACACAGATAACAGCATGGTGATGACCAGAGGGAAAGGGAGCAACAGGAGATAGAAGAAGGTAAAGGGAGGATAAATGGTGATGGAGGGAGACTTGACCTGGGGTGGTGAACACCCAGTACAACATATAGACGATGTATCATAGAATTATGCACTTGAAACCTATATAATTTTATTAACCAATGTCACTCTAAATATTTGACATACAGGGAGGCTTGTTTGAAATGAGATGGGATACAGATCAATTTGCCAGCATAGATAAAATATTTGCCGATGGGTTCCTCCTTATGTAATGTCATAAGGTTGGGTTACATTTTGAAAATGATTATGGGACATCAGCCAGTGCATAGTTACATCAGCTGGGACCACATGGATGATGGTGACCTGTCCCCATGACCTGTCCTGGAAGATTTCAGTAAGGAGTCCTATCTGTTAGCAGCCGCTCATCTGAGGAGCAGCAGTGTGTGCATATCCCCCATGACTCCAGCATGATGGTTTGGATCTGTAACATTGTTGTAACATTTTTGTATTTTTTAGTTTGCTTCACTGCTAGATATTTATAGGCAAGGATACAATAGGTTTCAGCTTCCTCCGAAAACCATTGTGTCAATGTTCCTAAGCGGCCAACCAGAGCAGAAAGAGGAAATGCTCTGGGAATCAGAAGCACTCTGGTCTGACCCAGGCTCATGAAAAAGGGAGCAAAGCATGAGAATTTGAGTATACTTTGCCTTCAAGCCTTGTTTTATTTTATTTTTTATCTCTGGACTATCTTCTGTAGGGAACAAAAGCCAGCCAGCTTTTCTGGGCTACCGGGCATGTATCAGAATTTAGAGCTTAGTTTTCTTTTCCTCTTTTAAAAAAGATTTTATTTATGTTTTCAGAGAGAGGAAAAGGGAGGGAGGAGAGGGAAACATCAATTGGTTGCTTGACCAGGAATCGAACCAACAACCTTTCGGTTCACAGGCTCAATCTACTGAGCCACACTAGCTAGGGCTAAAGCTTGTTTTCAATGCATCATGTGAAAGGTTAGCATTAGTAAAGTGAAATGATTTAAGTATTCATTTTTGTAGGACCAAAAGTTTAATGCCACTTTCTCCGAGAGTCCCAAAGACCCCAAACAAGGTATGTTTCATTAACATTAGAAATATTTTTAAAGAGAACGAAATTGTGAACATTAGTATGAACTGTCTGAATTGGCTCCATATGTGTAGGTCAGAGTTAAAAATTTGTTGGGGGTCAGATTTCTCTTTGGTCAACCTCGAGGTGACCTGCTTCCCGTCCATTGTCAATGAACATACACCCACCCAGCACTCTGACCCATCTAGGTGATTAATTGTTGGAATAATTGGCTGCAAAGGTCTTCACAAGACAATAGTGTAGTGCTACTTGCAGTGGAAGATATAATTAATTGCGTCAGTCTATTTTTTCTTCTTGATCTCATCTGAAGCTCAAGAGTTGGCCCTTTGCCTCCATTCACTGCACAATATGTTAGCCATTTAGGAAAATCTAGTGGTTAAAAAACACTGTTGGTTTTTTTTTTCTTAAGAAAAGTGAGGAAGCCAGTCAGAAAAGAGAACTTGTTTTTTGAAGAATGTTGTTAATTCTCCTTCAGAATCGGTGTAAGAGCCAAATACCTGTCTGATTTTTTTAAAGCATTGCTCAGTGGGAAATATTCCTTCGGAGTACTCTCTTGGATTGTCCTGTTATGCAAAAAATTGTGTTGTTAAGGTTGAAACTCAAAGGGGCTTTCTGAGATGTAAAGTATATGTGGTATGAGGAGAAGGATGTGTTTGCCACTGTGAAGAAGTTCAGCATACCAAGAAAGACAGTAGTAGGTGTCTAGTTGTGGAGTGAGAAGGAAACATGCTTCTCTGATGTTTCTTTGTGGTTAGGTAGAACTGAATACTGGCAAGCTCATAAAGCTCTTCATAAGCCCTGTTGAATCTTCCTAACCTCAGCCATGAGGCTTAGAGGTATGTTTATACAGGGGAGGGAAACTGTATAGCCAAGTTACAGAGTGAACCAGTTTCTGAGTCGGAAATAGAACTCCTTGCTTCCAAGGCTGTGTTAGGCCCGGGACCACACCCTCCCTGCTAGACAGCAAAGGTGCTGTGTGTTCAAACAAGGGAAAGCTATGAATAGGGCCTTAGTGGCAGTTTCCCATGCCCTCTCTTCAGGATTGACACTGTAATGCTTTCTTGTCTGTGGTCCTTTCTCTCCCACAATATTTGGTTACTCAAAGCAGCAAAGCAGAAGTATCAGACATTTGCAGACTGCCTGTTGTGGGCATAGTTCATACATTCTAGGAGACATAAAACTGAATGGAAAACTGGGGAGACAGAACTCACCTATTTCAAACACATCATCTTGCACAGCACAAAATAATACATAGTGAGCTAGAAGCATTCTGTGTAAATGGATCACTAGTGGGCAGACTGGAGGGACTCTGGGAAGGGGTGAAAAGGCTTCTATTATGAAAGCATTTTCCAAATAAACTTATTGGCAGTACTTATAGAAGGCAGGTGCAAGAACATCTTAGTGCAAACAGCTTGGTTTTAATGTTGGATTTTGCAGTCCTATAATTTTTTAAGATTGTGTAACTATATTAGAGGGTTATTTTTGACTATCTTGATTTCTTTCTTTTAAAAATTCATTTATTTATTTATTTTTAGAGAGGGGGTGAAGGGAGAGAGCGAGTGGGAGAGAAACATTGATGTGCAAGGGAAACATCAATGTGTGGTTGCCTCTTGCGTGTCCCCTAGTGGGGATCTGGCCCACAACCCAGGTACATGACCTGATTGGGAATCGAACTGGTGACCTTTTGGTTCACTAGATGACACCCAACCCACTGGACCTACACCAGTCAAGTCTTGATTTCTTCCAACAATTAAAAAAAGATCTCTAGACTAGGGGTGTTAAAATAGTATATAAATGGTTTAAGCCATTGACAAGTTTGCCATTTCCTTTTTATTTCTGCCATCTCATTGGTGAAACCATGTGCAGAAACTTGTGTCTAGAGCTCCCAGAGTAGTGTATGAAATCCATTGACTGCATTTTTCCAGTCTCTTGCTGTATTTTCCTCATCAGCTTCAGTGGCCTTAAGCATAGTAATTGCATACTGTTCTTCCTGAGAAAGCTGAAATGAGTGAGCTAAAGCAAGATAGAGAAGATGGGGTCGGAGTCCTTGCGAAGCAGAAAACGCTTCGAGGCCTTGAATACATATAGACGGCAGCACTGACTGACCTCTACCCAGCAGCATCTTTTTTTTCCCACCCTTTCTTCTCCTCTTTCTCTTAATTCTCCAGTTTTTCTTTCTCTGCTACTTTCTTTCCCCTCTTTTTGCCCCACCTATTTTTCTACTTCCTCATCTGGCTTCTTTTCCCCCATGCTGGACCTTGCTTGTTTTAGCTCCTGCTTCTATATATCCAGGTCGTTTCTGGCAAATTTGTGCTGGGCTCCTGAGTTAAAATGGTGAAGAAGGAAGATGACCTTAGAGCCGTGTTAGGCTCAGGGGAAGCACTCCATAGAGAGTTAAATGGGAAATCAGGAATAGCAAGTTCCCAATTTGAATTTGAATACTTCAGCTATGAAAAATGACAACGCTGCTTTGCACCCTGTATTATCCAAGGTCATCTCTCCCTATAGGCACTGCAGTGAGTGAATTATTTTTCTCAAGTCATTTTTTCTCAAGCCAAACCCTGAAATGACTTGAGGCCTCTATATGCCTGGCAGGTTCTCCCATCCACTCCCTTCTTTTTTATATGGAAATGATCTTTGGCCTGTTCCCTGGGAGCTGGAAGGAAAGAGTGACATAAAAACGAATCGCTTCGAAAAATGCCTTTCCATTTAAAAATATAATCATGTAAAAACCCATTACCGGGTATATCAGAGAACAAAGACCACTTTTATGCTATATCCTCCTCATTCAAAAGAATTCATTCAGCAGCTGCTTGTTCATAGGGACATAGAGAACATTCAGAAGACAGTCCTTGTCCATTGGCAGCTGTTGATCTAGGAGAAGGTTAGTAGCATTTCTATAGGCAGCTTTGAACGATGTTGGCTTGGATACCCAACAGTGATGATTAAGTCAATGACTGCCACATGTACAAGTGGTGGCAGGCAGAGGGCACATAACTGGCCAGTTCAGAATACATTTCACTTGTATTCATCTTAGGAGATGAAGGCATGAAAGTAACTGATGGGAATGGGCAGGGGGAGAGGGAGAAGGAAGATATCCAGGCTTAGGGTTTAGCACGAGAGAAGCTTGGAAAGGGGACCACAATCTGCAAGAGGGAAATGCTGAGATTGTTATTTGAATTCTCTCTCTAGAAAGGCAGTGTGATACAGTGAAAAAACTTTTGCCTGGAACTTTTAATTAACTGGCAGATTCCTGCTCTCTGAAATCATGTTTTAGAAGAAAAAGGTGAATCAACAACTTATTGTATTTTGCTGTGTGTAGTGTGCACTTTCTTGCCCACTTGTTTTGAGGAAAAACAAAAATGTACATTACACATGGGTACTACTGATTCAGTATTTATTTAAATATTTTAAAATTCTTTTATTTGTGCCTATGCATTAAAAATAACTCTAGAAAGTAGTAACAATGTCCATATGCAAAATAATAATACCCTGGGATCTGATACTCAGTTTTGTTTCTAAATATAAAAAAAAAATAAAATTGAATTAAAAAATTAAAATGGAAGAATTTTTCCCTGAAAGTTTTGCCCCCAAAATATGGGTGCACCAGGATACATGGGAGCACATTACAATGGCAAAATATGGTACTTCAGGAGTTTAGTCTCCACTTTAAAAAATCTTTTAAAGATTTTATTTATTTATTTTTAGACAGGAAGGAAGGGATAGAAACCATCCATGTGTGGTTGCCTCTTCCATGCTCCCTAGTGGGGACCTAGCCAAGCAGCCCAGGCATGTGCCCTGACTAGGAATTGAACCAGTGACCGTTTGGTTTGCAGGCTGGCTCAAGTCTCACCAACCCGGGCAGTCTCCACTTTTTAAAGAGTAAGTCTCAGAGGTCACATATCCACTTGTGGTCTTATGCAATGAAAGTAATACTGAAGCAATGAAGTTTAACAATATTGGAGAGCAGATAATACAATGTAGAGTAGTTTAACAATTATTTGGTTAGAAATAAAAGCAACCTGAATTCTGGTTTTGACTCTGTCATTTGTACATTCCAATTCTGGCATTATTATAATCGTAAATTACATAAGCCTCGGGTTCTGCTTCTGTGATATGGTAATGATTCCTATCTTGCCTATCTTATGGTGTTTTTGTGGGAATCAAATAAAGCATTGTTTTGAAAGCTAAAAAGTACCATATAAATTTCAGAGTATTAATGTTGTTTCAACTATCAGAGTCTGTCCTCCCCCACCCCTGGCCTTGATGTCTCACCTTGAGATATAACCCAAACACCTCATTCCTGTTTATCAGAATGCCATAGCACTGCAGTTACTGTATTGAGTGTGACCTCTTCCACTCCTGCAACATACTCTTATAGTACTTTATAGCATATGGTAGGTACTCAAAAGGTACTTGTCAAAGCAAAGTAATTGTTATTTCCAGTCCGGATAGACAGTATTTTTTACTCCTCAGAAAACATGGATGGAAGGCAGATATGATGAATCATTCCATCTTGTCTCCCATAGGAGGAAAACATTTCCTACTAGTCTCTAGTCTGAGAGTGGTGAACCCTGCAGCCAGCAGGCCTCCTGAAAAAAAAACCCATGGGTGACAGAAGATTCATTGACTTCCAATTCCAAGATTTAAATTCAAGCCTCAGACCCAGGTTGGGCAATGCTACTGCCAATAATACTTGCATTGTTGATGATTCCTTCAAGTACAATCTGAATGGTGCTGTCTACAGTGTTGTATTCATCCTGGGTCTGATAACCAACAGTGCTTCTCTGTTTGTCTTCTGCTTCCGCATGAAAATGAGAAGTGAGACAGCTATTTTCATCACCAATCTGGCCCTCTCCGATTTGCTCTTTGTCTGCACTCTACCTTTCAAAATATTTTACAATTTCAACCGCCACTGGCCTTTTGGTGACACTCTCTGCAAGATCTCTGGGACTGCATTCCTTACCAACATCTATGGGAGCATGCTCTTCCTCACCTGTATTAGCGTGGATCGTTTCCTGGCCATTGTCTATCCCTTCCGATCTCGCACCATTAGGACCAGGAGGAATTCTGCCATTGTGTGTGCTGGAGTTTGGATTCTAGTCCTCAGTGGTGGTATTTCCGCCTCTTTGTTCTCAACCACTAATGTCAACAATGCAACCACCACCTGCTTTGAGGGCTTCTCCAAACGTGTCTGGAAGACTTATCTGTCCAAGATCACCATATTTATTGAAGTTGTTGGGTTCATCATTCCTCTGATATTGAATGTTTCTTGCTCTTCTGTGGTGCTAAGAACCCTCCGCAAGCCTGCTACGCTGTCTCAAATTGGGACCAATAAGAAAAAGGTGCTGAAGATGATCACAGTGCATATGGCAGTGTTTGTGGTCTGTTTTGTCCCCTATAACTCCGTTCTCTTCCTATATGCCCTGGTGCGCTCCCAAGCCATTACCAATTGCTTTTTGGAAAGATTTGCTAAGATTATGTACCCAATCACCTTGTGCCTTGCAACTCTTAACTGTTGCTTTGACCCTTTCATCTATTACTTTACCCTTGAGTCCTTTCAGAAGTCCTTTTACATTAATACCCATATCAGGATGGAGTCCCTGTTTAAGACTGAAACACCTCTGACCACAAAGCCTTCCCTTCCAGCTATTCAAGAGGAGGTTAGTGATCAAACAACACATAACGGTGGTGAGTTGATGCTGGAATCCACCTTCTAGGTACGAGAACTGTCTTTGGGTCCAAATATGTTTTCTCCTATGATTATTTTCCTATGCTATGAATAAGAGGAAAGATTAGAAGCTAATGATACTGAGAATAGATTGATGTAATAAAATACAGTCAGATACATTTATTTGAACATTTACTGTACATATGCTGTTTTGTTCAATAATTATAGGTCAAGACTAATTACAACAACCAAAAGTAGTTATCAAACTCTTCCTCTGGTTTGAAATTTCATTGTATTGCATTATGTAACTGGCTAGTGGCCTTGACCGGTGATATGGAGATTACTTTCTAACTTTTAAAAAGATGTTTCCATTCTGAAAGTATTTGGTAATTAGGTTGGGCCTATAAATATAGAACAAATTCAGGGAGTATTTAAAAAAACATTTTGTATTACTACTGATATATTTTTGTTTGAATTGTTTGAATTTTCATCAAGTTTATTTTAGCACAAGAACATATTTTAGCTTAAAATAATTAAGAAATGTATCAAGTTTAAAAGAGCTGGCAAATTTATTGTATATATGTTAAAAGAAGAAACGTAAGTTGTGTTTGCATGAATATGGATGAGAAAAACAGAAAATTAACTGGATTTATACATTTGCAGTAACCAGCTGTGTCAGTTTTTAAAAATGTTCTTCCTTTTTTTACACTACATTAAGAATTTCATATGAAACTTCAAATCCAGGAAGCTGCTAAATAAGTGCCTCAGGCAGGTGCACAACAAATCTCGTAAAACAACAAATGTCTGTAAATAATCTAAGCAACACCAACCTTTTTTTCTTCACATGTCCAATATTTTGTTTGAGGGACTGGTTTCCATAAAATAGTCTCCATGTGAAATTTTGGAGCACAATGCAGCCAGAAAGCTGCTTCATTTGTGTCTCAGGAGCAAATTGAAGCAAGAAATTAACAAGGTCATAAAACAAAACAATAAAATGCAAAAAAAGTGCTTTTTAAAATTTGCATTAATCATTTCAGGGGGTAGGAGAGATTTGTAACTTTAAGTTGCTTGTTTTTTCAAATTAAATTTTGGAACACGGTATAGCCAGAGCTGCTGAATTTGTGCTCAGGTTGGGAGCTTATTGAGAAATTAGTTTACATAAACTAAACGAAGCCAATACGAACCATAAACAAGCAAACAGAAACCCCAGAAAAACTAGAAAACAATAAGAACAGCAAAAGATATTCCTAGCACTTGCACTAATGTTTTATTTATTTTCTGAGGATCTTTAAATAAAAAAATTTGTATGAAGTTTTGGAGTACAATATAGGTAGAACTCTGCTGAATTTGTGCCCAGGTAAGGCATGAACTGGAAAAAAATCAAAGCAAAACAACCCCCAACAAAAAAGAAAAAAACATGAATAATTTAGAACTTGTATTTTTTGAGCATTTGTAAAACTTGAAAAATGGTATAACATTAATATGATGCTTTGGACATAAATGCAACTGTGTACCAAGTTCAGGGGCAATTAAAATCAGTATTTTTTAAAAAGAAGAGAAAACCTATTTTATAACTCACTTAACAAAAGCAATAATTAAAAAAAAACTCTACAACTTATTGGATGAAGTAAATTTAAAAATAGTGAGACTTGTAAGAAAACTTCTGAGTACAATAATGCTTTAAAGATGATATATTGTGCTTATATCTGAAGCGATGGAAAAATATGTTCGCATATACACTACAGAAAAAAATCAAAACACCACAAAACAAGAAAAATATTCTTAAAATGGGAATTAATCAATTTTAAGAATATCTGGATGATACAACAATTTAAAAATGCTAAGATATCTTGAGTAAAACTTCTAGGAACAATGCATAATATAAGTTGCTGAACTTGTACCAGAAAGTGAATAAAATATTAAAAACCATAAAACAACAAAAAGTATAAATTTTAAAGCAGTAAGCAAAATTTTAAACCTCCTTATCCTTTTCTCCTGATAGTACCTACACTTTAAAACACTAAACTTTTAAGTAAAAATTCGTAAGAATTATGTAACTCTCAAAACTGGTAAAACTGTTCCTGGGTTAGGAACTAATAGAAAAAAATTGCTAAAATAGAACAGTAATAAAAATGAATTCTTCAAAATCACATTACTTTTTCCTCATTACCTAAAGTCCTAAAAATAATCATGTATTGTCTTATGTTCTAGGTAGAATATGTACGACATTAGGTTCAGTTAGATTCAATTAGGTTAAGTTAGGTTAAGTTCAGTTGTCAGGTTATATTTTAAGATCAAATTAGTAAAGTATGAATAATGTTTTTGTTTCTTTTGGTATTTTTTCTTTTTCATTTCTTGTAAGTATAAACTGTGTGTGAACTCTTGTTTGTGCCCTTGGTTCTCACAGTTATGACATTTTAGGGTGATGGCACCAAAACATTTAATGGGCTATGTTAACCAAGTTGACACAAAATATATCAATAAAGCAGTTTCCTTTTGTATAATTGCTGTATTTTGTTTTGGTTAGTTTTCCATATTTCAACTTATTTTTATTAATTTCCATTTTTAAATTAATACGAGTTGGTAATAATAAAAATGTTTGTCATATGAACAATGTAATCAATAAAATTTAATGTATAACTAAATGTAAAACTGACTTATTTTACATTTATAAACAAAAGCAATCATTCCATTATAATTGCAACTTGGAGTTTAATTGTTTATTAAATGTAATAAAATATACTTGGATATCTAGCAGTTACACTTTGGTCAACTATTCAACTTTGCCTTCATGTATGGGCTCCCAGAGGCATCTTTCCTTTGTCTTCCCTACATCCTTTAAGAAAGAACTTTATTAAAGTATATTTGATGTTAAATAAAATTCCCATACTTTTTTTTTTTTGAGGCTGTCTGGAGGCAAATGCAAAATTGCACATGGAAAATCCTTGGATGACTTTTCAGGGATGAAACTGAAAGAGTAACTACCACCTTCTCTGAATTTTCCAACTTGACTTTGATTTCTGTGGGGTTTCTTGGCCAAGCTGATTCTTGAATCTGATATTTCAGATTTGGTGAAATACCCTAGGACAACTGAGAGGCCTGGGGAAAGTCAGGACAAAGAGACAGTCTGACAACAAGGAGCTGACTTAGGTGCGAGGGAGCCAGACTGCTCAATAACTAGAAGAGGTGAGAGGTGGTGGCAGCACAGGGAATTCCTAGTTACTGTTCTCTTCCTTTCAACTCTCAGGGAAAGCAATGTTAACGTCTGATAAACCACACTGTGTATTGGTTCCCCATGAGATGACAGTACATGCTGCTTTTTTCCCTGACATCATGACCAGTGTGATCAGCCTTAGGCTGTTAAAAATTATAGGAACTTTGTTATTAGTGACCTAGGTTATGCCCTTAAAAAAAAAAAAAAGAGACGCGTCATTTGTTTTACATCCCTATTAACCTCCTCCCACCTTGTTTTTTGCACGTTATATTTGCTACGGTTTACCAAACTTTCTACCTGTCTATCCTGCTGCCCTTTCTAACATCTCTGTCTACCTACAGAAATATTGCTTTTCTGTGATAAAAAAACAATAACAAACCTCCGTCATTGGCAGGTTGAATAGGTTTACGCTGAGGTGTGAATGCTTGATCCCTCCACCTATTTATTGCTTTTCAGCCCTCTGGTAATCCCTCCTTCGGAGTTTGCATTTTAGAAAAGGAGTCTAATTAGTTCAGTGGGCTGAGGCAGGATTAGGATGGGGAGACATGACTATACTGGTACCTGGTGAATCATCTCAAGCTTCCCCTCACGTCATGGCAAAGCCTCTGCATTGCAGCTCTCTTGTTCCACTGATTCTAAAACTCATTGTTTTTCTCCAGGCAGCCCTCTTCCAAAACTGCTCATGGTGACTGGGAATCTGTTCTCACTTCATATAGGCTTAGGTTCTTTTGCCCAAATACTTCCTAATTCTTGTGGACTTGGTGACATGGTTCTTTTTCTTTTCTTTAGAAAGAGTTTGTTTATTTTTAGAGAGAGGGGAAAGGAAGGAGAAAAGGCAGGAGAGACATCAGTTTGTGGTTGCCTCTTGCGCACCCCCTACCAGGGATCTGGTTTGCAAGCGCAGGCATGTGTCCTCACTGGAAATCGAACCAGTGACCCTTTGGTTCGCAGGCCAGCATTCCATCCACTGAGCCACACCAGCCAGGGCTGCAATGGTTCTTAAAAATTAGGACAACTGTAATAGCATAATCAATAAAATATACTTAAAAATATAAAGCAGTTTGATTCAATAAGGAAACCAAAGCAGAGACTACTGAGTAAAAATTGCCTCTGTATTCAGGCTTTTGAGGAATTTGGTAATTCCCAGTACTGTGCTACTTTCCCTCTCTGAGTGTCTGGGAGTGAAGCTTTTCTCTCCCAAACGTCCAGAGAGGCGTTGAATCCTGGCACACAGAGGAGTAGAGCCAGTGTAAGGTCTGTAAGGAAACCCAGACAGGCTGAGACTGGGGAGATTTGTGTGGCTACTTACCACAGAGGAACTCCAACCATATGATGAGAAGCTTGTTACACAGGGCCCTCCTTCCATTGCTAGTGCCAGGCAAACTGCTCAACTTGTTACCTTTCTCACTCATGTTGGTGATATGAAGGCCAAAAGCATGGGTCGCATTCCTCATTGTGATCCTGGAACTTCAGAATTAACACTAGTTCAAGGGAGTTTGAGATTCTTGGGAAACAGTTTGGCTGGGGGCGGGTGCAATTCTTAGGGATCCAGAATTTATTTCCTTACTTATTTAAGAAATCTGTTGGACATCAAATATGTTTCAGGTATTCTTCTAGGCACTAAGGATGCAGTGGTGATCACAGCAGACAAAATGCTCTTTTATTCTGGAGTCAAAGAAGGTGAAATCCAAAACAGATGATTTAAACAAGTTGAAAGGTATCAATAATAGGACAGATGAAAGTGTGCAGGGTGGAGGGGAGCGAAGGGGGGAAATGGGACAACTGTAATAGCATAATTAATAAAAGATATTAAAAAAAAAGAAAGCCAGTGCTACAGAGCAAAATACATCATTGTAAAGGAGGAAACACCTGAAACCAAATCTCAGGGTCCGGTCCACAGCAGGACTGGATTAAAACTTTAAAAATCTTAAGCATTAAAAAGAGGAGGATGCCTCTGTCTAAATAAATAATGAGAATTACTTAAATTAAGCTTATGGCATACTTATCAATGCATGTAAGGAAATGCACGGAAGTTCTGATTGTGAAACATCACATTTCTAATGCTTGTTTGTAAAGGAGTTATAAAGCCCTGAGTTATAAAGCAACTTTGGTGGTTAGTCCACCTACCTTTGGGTGTTTATGCACTTTTCCAAGCCGCAGAGACCGCAAAGGCCAATGGAGATCCAGGCCTAGGAAACTTCCAGTCATGGCCTCGGCCTCCTCTCTCCTGAGGTTTCATTCTGTTGCAAGAGGCTCACTTGCTTTCTCTCTGTCTCTCTTTCTCCATCATTTTTTTTCCCCAGAAAAAACATGCTCCCATAGAGGGATCTGAATGCTAAGTCTGTGCTGTAATCAACTGCTAGTTTTCACTTTTCCTACTCACTGTGTGAACTTGGTCCAGTCTCTTCCTCCCTCTTTTCCTGCATTCCCCTATTAGTAGAATGAGCAGGTGGTTATTGGTCATCTCTGAGGTTCCTGATAGTTCTAAGGTTGGAACTCCAAACTCATTGATGCTGAGCAAGAACTAACAGTGTTTATTAATAATGTTGATATGGATAAGGAAATGTTAGACAATATTCTAAGTACTTTATGTGCATTATTTCACAATACTATGAGAAGCTTTATGATTGACCACAGTCTGTAGATGAGAAAACTGAAGCTCAATGAGCTGAAGAAACTTAAAACTGTCATAGAAATGATAAGTAGCAGTCTATTTTGATCCCAATTCTGTATGTCACTGAAGCCTGTGTTGTTAATTAGCAATTTGTTGTTAATTTGTCTATCCAGGACTGAGTCTTGAGTACAGGAATGTGTTTTTACTGGTGGACCTTCAGCTGTTACAGAGATCCTTCGAAAATATTCCACAAATGTGTCCGCCTATACCCACTTATACATAGCACCAGAGTTTGGATAATAACAATAACGATATTAATGAATACATTTCAAGTACTCAAAATGTGTCAGGAAGTAGCAAACAAAATCATATGACCTCATTTTAAATGATAGAACTGAGGCTTAGAGAGCCAAGGTTACTTACCCAAAGACCTACAGCCAATCAGTGGCAGAAGCAGAACTTCCAAGACAGGCTGTCTGACTCTAACTGCTAACCAGCTACAGTGAGATTTGCTCTAAAATATAATAACTCTCATTTATTGAATGCTCACTATGTGTCAGGTACTGTGCTTTGTGTATATTATCTTGCAACACTCTTATGAGGTAGGTACTCTTATCTCTTTTGTAAGTAAAGGAACTGAGACACAAAAATTTAAGAAACTTGCCCAAAGCCTCATAGTGAATTAGTCTTTATGAAACCCAACATGTAACTGTGGTAAGGTAAGATCAGGCCCTTACCTATCACCCAACCTCATCTACTACTCTGCTTTGTACTCAAACTCCAGGTACATTGGTCTTTCCATTAATAAAAAAAAAATGAAGCTATTCTTGTCTTAAGGCCTTTGCTTTTGCTGTTCTCTCTGCTTAAAATACTTTTCTATTCTTCATGTGGGTGGCCACTTCTCATCATGTGGGTTCTCTTATGATCATCCATTCTACAGTAGATATGTAGTTACTCTGCTCTCTTTACCATACTACGATTTCCTTCAGAGACCTCTCTGACATTATTCTTTTTCATTGTTTTATTGTATCCGTCTGTGTCACTCTATGCAAAAATTAAAGTTCCAGGAGGGCAGCGAGCATGTTGGTATTTTTGTCCAGTATAGTATCTAGTATGTAGTAGACACTCAAGTAAAATATTTGAATGAATCAAAGTAGTAGATCTGGGATGAGAAAGTAGGTCTGCATGACCTTAGGGCTCTGTTCCATACTCTACTGCCCCTTGATTTATCCTTTGAGCCTTTTTCCCCACATGCATCTTTTCTAATTCCTGTGTGCTAATTACAATCAGAACATAAATGTGGAAGAGCAAAGGATTTTGCTTTGAGAATTTAATAGGCAAAGTACATACCTAGTTTCCTAAAGGGGCTACTTTCATTATACTATTTTTTTTCCTCCTGAGTTTTTTTTCCCCCGAATGTATGGGTTCCCACATATATTTCCAAATATTCAAGGAAGAGCTCAAAGAAAGAATACAAATCTTGAGCTTGTTTAAAACTCTTAAGCTATATTTAAGTCCTAAGTAAATAACTCCACCTTTCCTTTTGCAGTTTCCTCTCATCTAATTTGTACTTTCTGGCACTTGCTGGCACTTGCTGGCACTTCTGAGTTATACATCAGACTGGAACCTTCAGCCCATATGGCATGTCACACAGCACATAGAGTCCACTACAGAAAAGTATCTTGTTACTGGTGATTCAAAAAAAAAATTTCTCGTTACTTTCAGCACACATTC